TCTAGATGTGACTTTCATCAGTGTAGCACTTAACAACTCCTATAACTCTATTGTGTAGCATTTAATGACTCTCACAATGTAATACTTGTTCTTGCCGATTGGTGACCACTTTGATACCATTTGTGGAGATTTACACTCAACTTATGAGGTATTATTTATTTTGATAAAAAAATCTTACGATTTTATCCTACAAAAGATTCTTCACAGATTTGAGTTTAGATCTCTATATATATATCATATATATCATATCATATCTATACATTTTTTCAATTGAGATTAGAAGCATTACATGAGCCGATCTCATTTAGCTCGAAAGATATTGAAAGAATCAAACACCCGCATGACGATGCTATAATGATCACGACCGTGGTATACAACTAAGTAGTCAAAAGAATCTTATTTAGTAATGAGAGCTCGACCAACATCATGTACTACAATATCATAAAAAAATAGGAATCAGTGAAGACTAGCTACAACTGATCACCATGGCACTAATATAGTTTGGGAACAAATAGGTATCGATAAAAGGAACAATCAAGCTACCAATTTCTTTGAGGATAAAATTGAAGACTATCACCTTAGTCATAAAATTTATGATTGTCGATATCCCATTAGCTTACAATATGATATTGGGCTGACTTAGCCAATCTGTTATACAGCTCATAGACTTAGTTTTCCATCTAAAAATAAAATTTCCAACACCCAATAGGGTTAGAGAGATCAGGGAAGACTAGTCCATGGCATGATAATGTTATGTCACTATAATGAATGGGAGGACTAAGAGGCAAACTGACAGTTCAACCGAGAATAAAAGTATTGAGAAAAGGTAGAAAGTGAAGGTCGACAAGAAACAGGAAACCACAAGCAAAAAAATAAAATGTAAGACCTACTTGATACAAGCATGCTCTTAAGCCACTCTAAGCTCAGAAGCTCTAAAAAAAAAATTTTTTTTGTTCTATTTTAAAAAGTTTTTAAGGTAACTTCAAATACGACCAAACTCTTAAGTTAAAGTGAACAATTACATATCATTTAGACTGAGCTAATAGGTCGATCAAAAGACAGTATGAAATAAAAAATATATACCAATTTTATGACATATATATTCAACAAGTCATTAACAACATACTGATCATCACGTTGGGATATATTTTTGTAAGAAATAATCCTGACCTAATCGAATAAAAAAAATAATTAACCAAAAATAAGACTCGGACGAAAGTCAACCTGAGTCGATCAAGGATTTGGTAGCCATACTATTATAGGATAATGTCCTTGAAAAATATATGCAGATTAAAACCAAAATTCAACATAAGGATTAGTTAATTCAACTTTTGAGAGATAATGTTGACTTATTCACTTGAACACCATCCGATATGGCCAGGATTGATATCAAAATGATGGTCCATAGGCTGCATATTAATCCTAAAGTAAAATCGATTTGATAAAAAAAGAGAACCTTTACCCTAAAAAGATAAAAGGCCATTGAGAAGGAGATCGATAAATTACTGTAAACGGGCTTTATCAAAGAGGTCTACTACCCTGAGTGAATAGCTAACGTGGTCATGGTCAAACAGCACAGCAAAAAATGAAATATGTGTGTTGACTTTACTGGCTTAAACAAAGCATACCCTAAAGACAGTTTTTCTCTCCCTAGCATAAATCGACTAATGGAAGATAGTGCTAAGCATGGCTTCCTTAACTTCATGGATACCTATTCTAGTTATAATCAAATTAAAATGCTAAGGGACAATGAGGAAAAGATAACCTTTATCACCAAAAAATACCTTTACTGTTAAAGGTAATGCCCTTCATATTGAAAAATGTAGAAGTGACCTACTAAAGACTGATGAACAAGATATTTAAAAATATATTGTCCTTAAATTTCATAATGAGGTCACAAAGAGCATATACAAAGGTCTCGGCTAGTTTATCTTACTCCATAGGATTCTCTTCTTTGCTGTCACTGTCTCCAACTAAGATATTTCTTTCCTCTTATTCTTTCTCGGAACCTTTTTTATCGTTAGAGTCTTTACCACCAAAAGACTCTAACTCTTAAGTAAGAGTAAGATTCTGAGGCTAAACTTTGGCTGAGAGCAACTCAACTTCGAGAGAAAAAGACAAAGTGGAGACCCTTCAGGAGAGGAAATGATCTCAACAAGAACTGATAGAGGGGGAATATAAGTGATAACGGGAGCATTGATAGGCGAAATAGTAAAAGTAAAAAAAAATTAATGTGACTAAACCCCAAAAGGGAGAATAGCCGAAGATAAATGAAGGTCGACCATAGAAAATAGATCGACTTAAAATATGGGGAAAGGTGATGGATTTTATAGGTTGAAGTCTATTTGAACACATAGTTCTTTTATGCATAGGACCCGTTTTCTTTTACCCGAACATTGTTTTGATTTTGTCGTTGCCCTTCCTTAGACATCGGATTAAACCAAACGGCCATTTTTTCACAATTACAGTTCTTGATGAATGGTGGAATTAGATCATCATTGTCTTACCCGAGCTTACCTCAATTAGGTTTTACTCTGAAACTCCTGACCTTCCCAAAACTTATACTAAAAGATATGGTTAAGAATACGTACTGAAGAAAGTAGAGAAAAACTTTAAGGCTGGAAAGCGTTTAAGATCGAAAAATTCATATCAGATTGAAAGTGAAAAAAGCAAAAAAGTAAAAAATGAAAGCCCTAATAGCCTTTTATATAGCCATGCCATAGATCAAATGAATGACACACACCACCTCATATGTCAGATTGAAGAGGGAAAAATATATTTTCATCATTCCTCTTTAATTTTTTTTTTCAGACTATCTCTCTCCTCATTTAATACCATTAGACTGATCAAACTGGATAAATCCCAGGTCAGACCGACCAAATCAAATGAATCTTAAGTCAGATTGGCCAGATCAAACAATTCCCTAGGGCAGATCGAACGCTTAGTTCATCATCAAAGTTCAAAGTAAATACTTGAACCCAAACTCCTAAAATAAAACACAAGTGTCAAATTGATTAGACGAACTCTAACATTAACCTCTCACCATTTCGAACAATTATCACCTTGGCAACCTTCAAGCTAGTTGTACACCCAACCCAAGACATACATGTAAGATCAAACAACCACAAAATCGGACCACAGTTCAAATTTAGTTGCCCTTAATACTAATCCCCCTTTTACGACGTTGACTTTGAAGAATCAAATTTTATGTCATTCTCTTTTGCCTACTTGCCCTATACCGGGTGTGTCGATCATACATTCAGCAGTCTGATACTCAGACTATTTGATAAAGGGATAGAGTGTAAAGGGCATTTGCTTGTTAAAAGGATCTAGTGGTCTTTTTTTCATGTTAGAAGTCTTCAGCAGACAACTAGAGGTAATTTTATCATTTGCGCCTACCTGACATGTTAAGTCAATCTCACAGGTCCAGTGCCACATTAGCTCGACACTGTTTTGTTGTCCTCCAATGATCCCTTATTACTTATTTATAAATATAAAGGTCCAGACACCATTAAGATAAGTCCTAACTACTCCTATTTTTTCTTATTACTCCATTTCTAATCTCATTTATTCTGACTTACACGTTGAAGTACAAATGTAGAGAATATTCTATGCTTTTGACTCGAATTGTCCTTTTCTTCTATCTTTCCAGAATTTAGCTCTGAGATTGAAGCTCGACACTAATAATTTGAATGTTATAAATATTATGATAACATGTTTTTTTTTTTTTTTCTCTTGCTAGTTATAGAAATGTTTTTTGGACTTTAATTTAGGATTATTTAATAATTTGAATGAATATTAATTTTAAATTTAATTGAAAGTAAATTATTTATTTTTATAATTGAAAGTAAATTATTTATCTTTGGATAAAATAGTAAAATTTTGTATTTTTTAAGTACTGAAGATGTTTTCTATTTATAAAGGTTATTCTGGTTCCAATCCAAAATTTATTCGCAAATCTAACTTCATATCTATCATTTGAACTAAATCCAAGTGATTTTTTAAGTTTTAACTTTCTTTTTGAATGAAAGTGAAGAGAGCACGAGGAAGCACATGTTTTGCAGCGAATTTAAATTATCTCACCATAAATTCAAATGCTATTCGTCAATTATATTAGATGATACAATAAAAATACTTAAATTTCATTTATCTAATAAAAAATTAATTGAATATTAGCTTAAATGGCATAAATGCTGAAGAAGTTGTTGGAAGTTGCAAATTCGAGGACCTATGAGTGTAATATTTTCCTAAGATAAATATTTTTGAAAACTTCCTGAAGTAAATTAAATAAGGACTGGAAGGTTAAGATTAGTTTTTTTTTTTTTTTAAGAAAAGAAATTTCATAAAAGGACTAGACCCAGAAAAGTCTTGACCCTTAAATTTTGCATTAATATTTTTTAATTCATTAAGAGTACTAATGAGACAAGGACAAGAACCCACATTAATCAAAGTACCAAACAAAAACCATCCAGAAATTTCCTAAAGTTTAAAAAGAGAAATCCAACCGACTAATTTCTCTGTCATTCAAGTACTATTTTAATAAACAATAAATCCAATTCACAAAAAAACTCAAAAAGTCTAATGATAGAAAATCAAATAGCATAAAAAAAAAGAGAGAGAGAAAGATAGAAGTTATTAATTTATAATAGGAAAACGAAAGAAGAGTTTATGCCGACTTTTAAAGCACGTGGATTTTGTACAAGGAATACGAAAGCCGCAGCTTCAGCTGCAGTACATACAACTGGAAGGCCCAAAGAAAAAGCAAATCAGGAAAATTGGATTTACAACTACTATTTATTGAAAGGGAGGCGGTTCTGCTGATACATGAATTAGAAAAAGATGCATGTTTCACGTGCTTAAATCAATTTTTTTTTATAGCTATTTGATTTAATTTTTGTGTGTGTGCGTTACGTGTCTAACATTGCTTTCAAAACGTTGTGCCCACCACAGCTCAACCACACTTGCACACCTACCTACCTTTATATAAGACCCTATCTTCTTCAACATTTCCCATCCAAATTATCAATTTCTTCTTCTCTTTGAAATTCCCCATTTCTTCTTCTTCTTCTTCTCCAAAACCATCCCCATTTTTCGCATTGCATAATTTGTTCATCAATATATATATATATATATATATATCGACATGAGACGAAACTGCAACTTGGAACTTCGCCTCCTCCCTTCTAGTTATCCCGGCGACCGTCACGACCACATGTGTGTATGCATACCTTTTCTTTTATATATAAACATTGGTTTCTCAGTAATATTTCGAGTATTTGACTGATTTTTTTTATGTGCTTAAAGGATGGAAGAGAGCAGCGAAAGCCCACAAAACCAACAGCAACAGCTAACAATTTTCTACAATGGAAGAGTTTGCGTTTGTGATGTTACAGAGCTCCAGGTAAGGATTTGGTTTTAATTCCTTTCTTTGCGCTCATATGAGAAGTAGTATTAGTTGAAACTTCAGCAAATTCATGCATTAAAATTGGTTGAAGAAGTCAAAGAAAAAGAAAGGTCATGATTTTTAGTAGTAGAAATGTTTTTGCCAAATACTATGAGGGATGTAAATTTGGATTTTGGTTGGTTTTGCCATAAATGAAATGGTGCTTTTTTGGTGTTGTACCTTTTGGAAATGTTAGAAAGTACAAGACCAGGTAGCAACGAATCAATTTCTTGTAGAACTTTCAGTAATCAGGAAACAACATTAAGCATTAAAAATTTTCTTTGAATTTCCCTTGGGTTTGTTTTTGTTTAATAAATATTTGAACATGGAATTGCAGGCAAGAGCCATCCTAACGCTAGCAAACAGAGAAATAGATGAAAGGATAAAAACTCCAACGGCATCTGAACCTGCTTCACCAACGTTACAATCTCAGCTACATAGCCCAACTACTGCACTTTCCATGAAGAAATCGCTTCAACGTTTCCTCCAAAAACGAAAGAATCGGATCCAAGCTACCTCTCCTTACCATTAATATGTATCATCATCATCATCATCATCAATCCTTGCTGTTTAGTGGAATGGAAGGAACTGATCTATCGTTTTGGCTAGCTAGGAATGGAAAGAATTCTTTCCATGAAATTAAGGAGACTTTCCGTGGGATATCTTGTTCCTTTTTTCTTTTTTTTCTTTTTTGTATATTTATATATGAAATATGCTAGTAGCTTGATCAAGACTATGGATTTTGCATTTGTTCATTGAGTTTTTTTTTTTTTTTGGGGGGGGGGGGGGGGTGATCACTCTGCTTAATTACTTTGTGATATTCCGTTATATATTTCCATCATTCACAGCCCATATACAAAAAATTCAGGCTTGATATACGTTATGTACATGATAAAAACAAAACACGTTATACGTACGCATTTTAATGTATACATACATGCACGGTTTGAATTAATAATGATACATATATCGATTTTTGATTAGGTAAAAAATTAAAAACCATATATAAAATCAGAGCGGTGTAGTACTTATATGTATATGTCTAGATGATATATTGAAAACACTATGCTGTTTTCAACTTGGAAAGAAGTGAATTTCTTTCTTTATCAAATCAAAAAACCTTTAACTGGGTCGTTCTGATATTTAATGTCGTAAAAAATAAAGTAGTCGCGTCTTGTTTTGACTATAAGTCTAGATTGATGGAAATATATATCAAGTTACAAGGTCGTAGACATGGGACCTGTCTCTTGTTGCAAGTCTCACATATCTTTATAATTGTTGACTAATAATATTTTAAGCTTTTAATGTTTAGAATCCCCCCCCCCCCTCTTCCTATTTCAAACATTATTAGTTGCAAAAGTTCCAATTTCATTAAAATATGAGTGCCCATTGTCCAATTAAAGTTCATACTTGAACTTCAAGAGGAAACAAATTCATGAAATTTTGGCGATTTAAACTCATTTTACTTGTGACCAAAAAAAAAAAAAAAACTCAGCTTACTCGAACATAATGTTTTGAGCGTTTTATTTGATTTTGAAGGCTAGATCTGTTAACCTATATGAAAAAGAAAAGTTTGTCATGATGTTAGTTGGATACTTAATTTTTATAATCAAGATTTAACTTTTTTGATAATTTCAAATATTAAAAAAAATTGAGAAGTTGAATTTTTTTTTTTTTTTTTGGCTTCTGTTAACTTCTTCGTCTCCCTCAATCATGAAGTTCTATTTATTGATAGGACATGGTTTTACATGTGTTTGGAAAAGGATATGACCTCGTCGGGGGAGGTCCACAGTCGGTCCACTGGAGTGGAGATCGGATGTGGTCTCAAGCGAACCTTCTCATGCAATAAATATGGAAGAAAAATAAATTATTAGATAAATAAACAAGTTGAGAAATAGTAATAAAAATCATATGCAAATTATTAAAGCCAGCTTCAAAGAAGAACAAAAACTTCACAATCTCAATAGTTTGTACATCATATAGCGGGTTGGAAAGAATTAATGCAAACAAAAAATACGAGTGTATATATATGATAAATGTAAATTAGCAGAAAACTATGTTCCAAAAATGTGATTTGTCCCCAGCTGTGTGTGATCTGGACTTCACCTTCTTTATCAAATGGAAAATGCCAAAGGAAACTACACCGAAGATATGTGATCTTGAGAATTGGAGAGACAACTAATGGGAAGAAAGGGGCTTGAAATTGAGGGCGAAACAAATAGGAAAGGGCTACAAATGCCCAATCACATGTAGGAATATAATAGCACCGACAAAATAGAGATGTATCAACATCACATGAGAATTCAAGAGCAATGCAGATAACAACGATCCCAATCCCCACAAAAAGCATGTAAACCATCGATAAAAATATCAATTCATAAGCCCAAATATTAAAGATCCTAATTAAAGGTTATAAAATTAATTTTAATAAGATTAAAAACAGTGATAAATATTATTATAATTATGATAAAAAAATTAATAAAAAATTTTATTGAATATATTTCATTAAAATTAACATTTAAATTTAATTAATGATGCAATAAACTTAATTACATCATATTAAAAATGACATAAAATCTAAACCCCTAATAAATTTCAATGAAAAAGAGTTTGAAACATTTTTCTCATCGTAATGCTTTCTTAATGTGTACTATTATTCTTAACATGTTTTCCTCGTGTTTTTAATTTCTTAATAAACAGGTTAATTATTACTTTAGAAATAATTTAAGAACTTGAAACTAATATTGTCCTATAATAAATCATCTTAATTACTACCCATAAAGTTGAGAGAATAATTATGAGCAAAAACGTTCAAAACAAATTTTTGGTGGGCCAGCATATGAAATCTACAAGATACTTAAAGAGGTTGACAAAGTCAAAAGATAGTGATGATTAATATGTAGACCAAAAACGTTATAAATGTTTAATTTGCATATGGTGATGAGATATTTGTCATCAATCTGATTCCTGGGAGTGGTGTAATTAAGCCACGCTTTGATGTTCTTATTGGTAGAGCTGTCTCCTTTATCTTATCATCACGCTTTTCTCAATTTCCATAATTTTCTATGGTCAAAATTTTGACTGATACGGTTAAGCAATTAATAACAACAGTGACGTCAAATACACATAAACAATTGATCATATTTTTAATTCAAAATTTAAATAATTTAATTCATCCAACCATTTTTTTTAATTCATATAATTATTTTTAAGATATAATATTTAATAAATTCAAAATTAAATTTTTAATATTATAATTTTTTTATCTTCACTCACGTTAGATCAACTAACCATGGTTTAACGGGATCATAAAGAAATAAACATATATATATATATATATATATATATATATAACCCCACACAATTTTTAATACAAGAAAAAATTACTTTGGGAACAAGCAAAAATGAGCTAATGAAAGATGGTATGGATTAATCGTCGGTAATTCTATTGTCATTACAAAAGCTAAATTCTTCAAAACATTTAGTACATATGAAGCACTAAATCTGGGATAATAATCAAGTTATTCTGATGGACAAGATAGGGTCTTAGAAACTTCGGGCATTTGCAATGCGCAATTTGACAGGGAGACCAGCACTTTATAACCTGGGGACAACACGAGGTTGGTCCCAATCGGTTACAATGTGGTTTCGGGTGATCTCCTTTAGTGAGCGACAGCCACTTAATGCCATTGTCAGCTCCAATTCATCGCGTAGCATCTGAAGCACTTTCCTAACACCAGCTTCACCTTCAGCAGCTAATGAAAATACTACTGGCCTTCCAATCTGAAAATGAAACATGATCAATGAATTGGTTCATGATGCCAATGAAAAATCACAGGATTAATGGGTTAATATTTGCTAAGCAGTGGCCTACTGGACTTAAATTTCAATTCAAGAGGACTAATGACAACAATATATATTATCCTTTGACTAGACTGCGAAAATTATATATGCTACAGATTAATAAAATCTGCCAATCTAAATGCCCAGAGAAGCTGATAGACATGTTCACCCAACTTAAAAGGGTTGCTAGGGAAATTAAGGATAGGCAATTTGGATCACTGTTTATCATATCTCAAATGTATAAACACTTACAAATATTCCAGATGCTCCCAGAGCCAACGCCTTGAAGACATCAGTTCCACGCCGAACCCCTCCATCAAGGAAAACCGGAACTTTGCCTTGTGCAGCTTTAACGACCTGTATGTTAGCTCACCTAATTATTAAATTTGAACAGAACTAATATGTATATTTTGGAATATTGCAGTTATAGTTGATGTTTTCACTGTAAATAAGTGCATCATCAAAACTGGAAAATGGAAGTTAGTCAAAATGAAAATATAGTCATTTTAACATTGCTTCAGTACTCGTACAGAAATAATATGTTAGAAACACTAGGGAAAGGATCAAAGGAGATACAAGTTATACAGAATAAGACAACATTAGTGTTGGCCACCAAAGCTTCATGAAAAGTTGTAAAATATTAAATTCTAAACATCTTTCGACATTGATTTGAAGACTTTAATGATTTCAAAAAGGGTATATTTACCTCTTCCAAAGCCATAATAGTTGCCGGTACATAATCAAGCTGGCGAGCTCCGTGATTGGACACAATGATTCCTGCAGCTCCCGCTTGTATAGCTAGCCTTGCTGCATTAATAACATTGTAGAGTTTCATGAGAAAAGTGAAAAGAGGACGTTGCATTGAGTTGGTTGTTTCTTTAGGTCAGCTTGCTTACCATCCTCAGCAGTAATGACACCCTTAACTAGAATTGGCAAAGATGTGATTGTCTGAAGCCACTTTACATCCTGTTTTATTGGCCAGAAAGAAAATTTGAGGAAATGTTTCTATGCTTACATTTCAAAAAGTATGAAAAATAAAGAAAATGAGGCATCTTACTTTCCAGCTAAGTGTCCGATCAATTTGGCCAGCAACATACGAAGCTAGCCCAGAGTCATTGGTCTGTAAGACAATCTCACCATTAGGTGAACAAACAGGCAAAGTAAATGGATGATTAGAACTGAGATTTATCAGACATATATCACTTACCTTATCCATTCTGCCGAGGTCCAAACCCACAAAGTTCTTCAAAGTCAAAAATGGTGGCAAAGTAAATCTGTAAGTAAGCCCACGCAAGAAATAAGTCCTCTTTGAAAATAGTAGAATAGTTTTGTTTTGATATTTTGAAACTTACTCTTTTTCTATACACTATGCCTAATGTCGGAGAGAACAATTGTCATATTCTTTGCATGGTAAAACAATGAAGCCAAAACTATATCCTCCCTAACTTTTTTCTTCCCCCTCCCACCCTTTACAAAGTTAGGCTTGCATTAGATGCTCACCTATTCTTGATATCAGCTTCCCTGCGGCCAAGTCTTGGAGTATCCACAGTAAGGGCAATTGCCTTGAAACCAGCCCTTTCAGCTCTTCTCACAAGCTGTGCAACAACATTCCTGTCTTTGTATACCTGAACAATAAGCAGTAACATTGATCCTGCTATGATATAAAATGAAATAAACACCTTAAAATATCACTTATTCATTAGCTTGGAGACAAGTGAATCCAGCATAATCCGAAAACGATTTGCAACTTTAGTGATATACTGTTCACCATGCAAGAAGTATAGATTATATAAACTATCTTTACAAGGTTCTGTTTAAAAATCAGACAATTATATCACAATGCTCAAAAGCAAGACAAAGTGTAGAAAGTGTAATGATGATCTCCGAAGCTCACATAGAGTTGGAAAAAGCGAATGCCAGGTCCTGTTGAAGCAACCTCCTCAACACTGGAAGTAGCCCACGAGGATAGTGTCTGTGGGGGGAAAAACATAAATCAACGAAGGCAGTTAATATTGATTTCACAGAGCAAAGCAGGCTTCTGCAGCATGCCAAATGCAAGCCAAGAAATAAAAATTCAGTTTTGAAGTAAAGAGGAAGGAATAGTGAGAAGCAAACCATAATTGTTCCTGCATCTGAAGCTGCTCTGGCTGTTGCATATTCTCCTGCATAAAGATACACGCTTTAACATTGGGACATAGATACATTTCCTTTTTGTTCTTTTGGCATAGAAATAGTAGCTAAAGAAGAGAGAAATCAGATGGGGAAGAAAATAACCGTTCTTCCATTAGAAGAACTAAAAAAAGCATAAAATATATACACACAATCTTAAACTAGCATTTCAGTTGAAGACATTAGAGAATTAAAGTGTTGTGAATCTGTGAAAATGCAAATACCGGCTCTATAAATGACATTGAAGAATGCTATAATTTATACGAGCATTCACTAATTAAATTCGGTTGTTTGACTTCTATAGCAAGCAGATAGTAAATGCTATACGTGCACAGGAAGCTTAAATTTTAAATTTTATTCACAGCTTTGCGTCTACAAATAATTCCTCTAAGAGTTTGCTCTGTTTCTGAAATCACCAAAGTTGCAATGGCAATACATCATGTATGTCTAAGCATATTCAGAACAAAAAATGAATGTGCTTAATCTGATGTGTTGACATTAATTGCTCAAGCATTCCCAACCCACGGTTAATAAAAACCAGAATATACCTTCAGGGTGAGCCATTTTCTGCATAGCAGTTGGAGCAATCATGATAGGCATTGAAATCTTGAAACCCAAGACGGTGGTGGTCATGTCAATCTTGCTAACATCAATAAGAATGCGCGGTCGGAACCTATTTGCCATGAAATAAATGAGCATCATCAAATGAAAAGATAAACCATCATGTTCAACCTAAAAAGAAAAGATTGCCAGAAAAATGAAGTATGGTGCATTTTCTTAAGACTAAAACAAGCCTCATGCAAGTGCATAATAACTTGTAAATTAACAGAACTTACAAAATCCTAGAAAATGCATTTTGATTCTCCTTAAGAGTCCACTGGTCCTCTGCTCCTGAGGCATAGTAGTCATAAACCATCTTGGGCAATTTCTCCTTTGCAATGGCCTCGTATTCAGAAACATTAGTTATCTCCATTTTTTCTACTGATACTTTTGCTATCCCAAACCAAAATTAATCTGAATTCCAGAAAAAAAAAATTGCATCAGATTGATTTCATTCAGAGTTCATTATAACAAGAGAGTTAAAATAAAGGTCAACTAACATATATGATCGGTACAAAGAGTTTATGGAAACAACAAATTCTTCAGTATACAAGAGTCAAATAGGAGAGTGACCAGCATATCAGAATCAAAAGAAATCTCTGGAGTAAGTAATACTTAAAATTAATTGCCAAAAATCCCCTGCAAGCCCCTATTAATAGTCATTTTAGCACTATTCTCTATCCTTTCCAGTGATTGCAAAGTTTGAAATCAACCATAAGGGATGTAATGAAAACAATAAAACTTTATTTACACATCTGGATTAAATTTTGGATGTGAACTGAAAACGAATGTTCTGATATCCATTCCAAAACCAGAGATCAGTTCAAACCGATAAATATAAACACAAATATGATGACAAAGACTAAGTTTTTGGAACAAAACTATGATCAGAAAGAACACCAAGAACAAGAAAAGAGAATAGGAATGAAGAGCAAAGAACAGACCTTGGGTGCTTCCAACAATAAAGAGAGACGGGAAAGCTAAAGTGAGAGAGTGGAGATAATGGTGCAGAGAAGTAACGCAAACAAACAACTAATATTGGTATGGAGATTGGAGACGAAATATTAAAGAAAAGGAAGTGCAGACAAAAACAGAAAAGACAAAAAATGGGTAGAGATTAGACTTGAGAGGGAGAATTATATGGATTAGTTTTTCAAGGCGAGCATTTGAAGCCAAATCTGTGTCATGGAAATGTCAGACTTGGGTGGAGAGCGTTTGGTTCAAACAATGCTCATCCCCGTATCAAAATACAGCCACCATTTTCAGAATTGGAAACCATTGTGGAATTTTTTGGGTGTGGCTACTCACACCGAAACAACGCATTTGTTAGCAAATGCCAGATAAGAAGTTTTTTTTGGCCTTCTACATATGGTAATTTCCATTTTTGGGGATTGAATTTAAACCACCAACATTTTTGTGACAAATAATTAACCAGAAGTTAAAATATTTCATGTTATTTTCTTTGAATGTTAGTTTAAACTAGAGTCCTTTTCATGAATGGCTTGTGCAAGAATGAATCTCTCCACCATCCTCAATAACTAGATTTAGCAATTTGAAACACGATATAGTAATACGATGCGAAAATGATACAAATAAAAAAATATAAAAATAATACGATTTAAAATTTTTTAAAAAATTATAAATAAGTTAAATAAAATTAAAAATTATATTTTATATTTTTATATCAACATAAATTATGTCATATAATTTTTATATAAAATACGATATGAATATAATATTTTATATAATACAATAATAAAAATTATCAGATCTATCAACAACATCCATCCGGTAATGTGTATCAAAATCACTTCACTATTTGGCTTCATTTTGGAGAAGTTTGAGTGTGCTTGCCACCCAAACATGCCTTCAAATGGTACTTCACTTAGTGATATCTTAATTAAATATATATTTAATTATTAAAATGGAAATATATTAAGTTAGATTTAGATAATCAATTATGTCTTATGATTAAATTGTTTATATTTAATACACTGATAATATATGTATTTTATACATTATCAATTAATTAGAAAATAACACATTATTAATTAATAAAGATGAAATTTTAAAGATCTCTTAAAATAAATATTTTAAATCTTAATTATCTAATAAAAGAAAAATATCTATTAATTATTTTTTTAATTGATTAGGATTTTTTTTACACTCATGCCTCTTAATTTATATAATCAACAGAATCAAAGAAATTTTAGTGATGATGAAGGCTCCGCATATGATGAGCTCTCTTTGGCGATCATCTTCTTCTTCTATAATAATCTTACCAATTACCATATAACAAGATACTATTTTGAAAATCTTTTTAGATTATTAGTATAGGCTTGTATAATACTCTGTTGGGTGCTAATTAAAATTCATTTAATTAGTAAGGAAATTAAATGAAAATGAGTCTAATAAAAGGATAAATTGATGATACCCGCTTGATTTTTTTCAAGGAAATAAAACTAAAATTCAAATGCGTTAATAATTGTATGATTTATTTATACTTTTTTTTTATTCATTAGATAGGGAATATAAAATGATGAATTTAAAATTTTCACCCAGTATATATTTTTAAGTATTTTTAATCATTAAATAAAAAAACTGAAGACCACTCTTCATTTTAATAACCAATATTCAACCCCAACAACTTAGACTATAAAAAAAAAAATTTCAAGTCACTCACATATGAGCAAGTTATGTGTTAGATAGACCCTATGTCTTCCCCATAAAACTCCAAACAAAGGGGAGAGTCAACCTTAGACATCGGACACAGACCCTTTTGTTGTCAACAACGATCGAAGTAGCGCGAGTGGAAACATTCGCTTTCTTCTGTTGGATTGGTGTTCCTCACGGGCATCTGATGCTTGTGGTCATTTGAAATAATTATCTGATGTGTTACGAGAGTTGTGCGCACTTCGCAGAATTCAAGGAAGATAGAGCTCTCCCGTTTTAATTTTTTTTCGGATAAAGGCAAATTTATAATTGGATTACAATTATAGGTTGAATTTTTCATTATATTTTGATTTAGTTAAATTTTCTTATCATACTTTTTGATTCAGTTGAATTTTGTTATTTAATTTTTATTTTTGATGAATTTTAAATTAAAACTAATGAAAGTAAAATATTCCATTGAGAGTCAAATAAATTTTGAATAAATCAGCAAATATGATGTGAATATTTCATATGTATAAAATGCAAGGATGGATACTGATATCTAAAGAATTTATTACTTGTTTTAATGAAAATTTTTATTGAAATAAATAATTCAAATATTAAATATAATTTTTTTAAAAATAACTTAATGTCATTTGCTCTTATCCCATTAAATTCACCTCGAAAGCAAAGTTACAAAAAATAATCAATGCAAACCAAAAAAAAAAAAAAAAATTGAATGCTTAGAACCATTTAAAAAAATTAAGCATGAACAAAACTTAAAGACACTCCTGCATGCCTTAAAAAAAAAAAATGCTATTTTCTTCCTTTTAGTAATCGGGAAATAGCAATTGCTACTGTAACAATATGTTATTAAAAAGAAAGTGAACTCGTGAACTTTGATTATTATTTTGATGCTGATGCTAGTGGGAATAAATAGTGGCTCTGACAAAGACGAATTAATACTTACTATATACGTCTCTATTATTGGTTTAGTAATGGAGTCTAGACTACCTAGTAGCTTAAGATTATAAAAGATTATATAATTAGGTCATACGTGGGATGCTTTATTAAAAAATATATTTCAATATAATGAGTTAAATATATGTTTAGTATATAAAATTATAATAAAATAAGATAATATGATATTATAAATAGAATTATATTAAATAATATTATTTTATCTTATTATATTTGATCAATAAGTAATTTAAATTGTATAAAATTAATAAAAAATTAATTTATTTTAGTTTAATCCTTATACACATTAAATATAAGATAAAATAATATTATTTTATTCTATTATAATTTTATTCACCCAACACACTTGTTATATAAAAATAAATTGTTAAATAAATTATCCCAATGTAACATTGGAGTCAACTATTTCTTCTTTATAAGGTCTAAGCAGTTTAATTGGGTCTTTTTCATTTTGGATTGGATCGAACCTCTTACTATATATACCAAATCCAATTGACTTTAAAAAAAAAAAAAAAAGGAAGAGAAGATTCCCTGTTCTTTTGCGGGTGCCAGACTGCCAGAGGCCCAGAGTGCCAGGGGAGGGCCATAGCTCTACGAGCAGACAGGTAGGCTAAAGCATTAAAACGTGGCAAACCCAACCACACGATGACATGAACAATCAGTAACTTCTTTTTTCGCTGAATTATGGAGAAGCAGCCGCAAGCACTAACCCAAGAGCTTCTCGATGTTCCTCTCTGTGTAAGCCCAAAAAGATACCAATATATATATATATATATATATATATTAATTAATAAGAAGATTACTTGTTCGATACGTTTGGTTTAGGGTATCTTACTGTACTTCTGGTTTGGAATTATGATTCACTTTACAATATTATCAAGTTAGATTATCAGTAATATGCCATGCATGATGTGTTTGGTTTACTTGGTCCGCATGTAAGATTGTCATGTTTTTTTCTTTTTATGCATTGTGGCAGAAATGATGAAAATAGATAAAGATAAAAAATTTATTAATTTAATAATTAAAATTTATATATAATTTTGTAATTCAATCATCATATTAACAAGTTTTTTATTTGTACTTCTTTTTATCATTTTTATCAAGAAAAATCTTAAAATTTAGATGAGGAGAAATTATTTCACTTCAGGATCAATACATGTAACAAGTTTTATTGATGATTTATATTGAACTCACATAGAGTCTATTAAAAAAGACTGTTGAAAATTAAAATCGAATTTATATCTTATAAATAAAATATTCGATTTTTATTAATTCAACTAATTTTCGTTGATCAAGATTATCATGGGTAGGAATATAACTATTCCAAATAATCACTTTACTCCTCTTAATATAAAATAAAAACTATCATAATAATTCTTTTATAACTTTCAGATAAATGTAACTTGTACATATATAAAAAAAAAAAAAAATCAAACATGTAATTCTTTATAACAGAACAAATTTATCAAAGTATATGATCAACATACGTTTTTGGTAGCCAATGTTTTTATCAACATATTATAACAAAATAATGGCACTATTTAGTACATTTAATCAAGCAATCATAAAAAGGTGATCTGTCAACCTTATAAAAAATTTAATAAAAATTAGATTTCAAACAATAATGTAATGTAAGATGTGTCGAAACGCTTTCTTAAAATAATAGTGATGTTAATTTCCAAGTTCCATCATGACAGAAAAATGAGCAAAAAAGGGAAATTACTGAGGGATCTCACCTTTTAATATTGTTGGAAGTTTTAAGCAATTACCATAATATTTCCGCATTATTTGATGGTTCAAATATTAGTACCAGACTAGTACTAGTATTTTAATCATTTTTATAGATACTATTTTTGCAAGAAAGAGTTAATCTTGGACATTAACAGCCAAAGCATCAAGATCCCATGAATGATTATAGTTAGAAAGTTAACGAATTAGAAAAAAGTGATTGTGGTCCATTTCAATCCAGAAAATGAGAAGAACAATGATGGAATTTAGCATTTTCTCAGGGCTGTTGAATAATCCTGAGACATTACCGTCCATCTCTCTTTCTCTTAAAGATAAGTACAGAGATCCATATCTTTTTTTACCTGTCAAAAGGCCACAACGCAGTTCAATTACACATCAGATCCCACTGGTTAATTTAATTAATTAAAATTTATTTTTTCAACGAAAAAATGTTTGAATTCAAATCTGTTAAAATTATTTTAAATGCTTGAGTTATAATTATTTATTTTAAATTATTAAATATGATATGTTTAAATTTATAATTATTTATTTTAAAATTATCAGATACGAATATTTTTATCTTGATTTTATGACTAATCAATTTATCTCGAATTATTTTCGCACAAAAAATATATATATGTCAGATCCGATATACTTTTGCTTCTCTCTCCAAAAGGCTGCCACAAATGAACCAGCAATCAGAGATGGAGCTTTTGTCACTGGACAAAACTTTTGTGGCCCCTTACCATGTAAATTCACCTCAACTACTGATGTAAATGCCCCTCTGCATATTTTCACCAACTTGGTTGTAGGTACCCTTAGGCTGTGCATCTTTCCAGCAAGAAAATGACCCATCAATGACCATACCTGTTTTCATATTCAGTTTTGGCTTAGTTTAATTTTCATTAGACAAAATATATGTTGACAGGATATCAGTACTAGAAATGTTTACAAAAAGGAAAGCAAAAAAACAAAACATGTTGAAATGAACCGTGGATCTTGGGAAGGAGCACTCGAACTGATCTTGCCATGGTACCAAGATGGCTTTCTTCCCTTGAGATCATCTGGGTGTTCTCCAGGACAAGTGAAGTTGTCAACTATTCCTTCTCTGCCCAAGCAAGCTGTGGTTTGTAGATACGCGGAGATGTTCTTCCTGGATAGCTGGTAGCTTGTGCATAGCCCAGTATTTCCTCTAACATCCAGCCTTTTTCCAAGTCTCTTAATGAACTCCTCTGAGAGGAGTAGTTCCCCACTTAGGTTGTTGTGACTCAAATTAAGCTGGTCTAGATTTGGAAGTAACCCCAAATTTGAAGGAATTATCCCTGTGAGAATGTTGTTGTCGAGAGAAAGAGCAGTAAGATTCTTCAATGAAGACAAAGAGTTGGGGATTGGGCCTATTAGTCCACATCCTGCGAAGCTGATTGAAGTAAGCCTCTTGAGGGACCCCAGAAATAAGGGAATCGGTGAATTTATGGGATTGTAATCAAATATCAAATATTGTAGCTGCTCCAAACCTGAGAGAGTCTGAGGGATTGGCCCATTGATGAAGTTATGGCTCAAGTCAAGCAAAACCAACCTGTTTAGATTCCCCAATTCTGAAGGTATCCTTCCATGAATCCTGTTTGAGCACAAATCAACTTTTTGAAGAAGTTGAAGCTGACCCAAAGCAAATGGCACCAGCCCGTCAAGATCATTCGAGCTTAAGTCCAAAATGGTTAAACTTTTCAGTCTTCCAATTTCTTCAGGAATTTCACCGCTTAGATTGTTGTAACTGAGGTCAAGTTGCTCCAAGTTGACTAATCCACCAAGCTGACGAGGGATATTTCCTAGTAGATTGTTCTGCGACAGGCTTAGGACCCTTAGCTTAGAAATATTCCCCAAGCTTGGAGGAACCTCTCCAGATAGAGATGGATTTGACTGAAGTGATAGATGCTCCAAGGAAGACAACGCACCAAATAATGTAGGAGAAAGCGTAACTGGTGAAGTTACAAAACAGTTGAAAATAGAGAGAGTTTTTGTTGGGAAAAACAACATCCATGCGCAGCAACCACACATAAAACAGCAAGCTCAAATCAAGAATAAGAACACACAAATATATTTGGTTCGGCCCAACTCAAAATGGCCTACTCCAAACACAATCCACTAACAAATAAATCTTTACAATTGTGAGACTTTTAGAATGAGAAAAGTCTCCTAAAACTCCTTACTCAAAACTTAACGCAAAACCCAATTACACCCTTTAATTGCCTACTCACTTAGCTATCTCTTGGTGTCTAACTCTCTGAGGTTACTAAACTAAAACCAAAACATCTTATTTTAGGGGTGAAACCCTTATATTACCTTTACTAAACTCCCGATGTGGGATACAAGACAAATTCAAACTTACTTAACTTCGATTGGGATTCTGAGATTCAAGGCAAATCCCAACAAATCCCCTTGACTTGAATCTCCAAACACTTCAACAGTATCTGCAAAGCTAACATGCTTACCTTTCTTCTTTTCTTTCATCACAGGCAATTCCAGCAACTGAGCCTCCATCAAACATGTACAAGTGATTGACCCTATTCCCTTGTAGAATCACACTACATTCTTGTAACACTTTCAACCAATCATTACTACCATAATATGTGTACCCTCGAGAAGCTAACTCACCCAAAGCAATCAAATTGTAGTGACAATTTGGTACATACCTTACATGATGAAGTGTCCTAATAACACCATTGTGAGATCTAAGGCGAACACTCCCAATGCCTTGAATCTGCACCTTTTCTTTGTTAGCAATCACAATATCCCCATACTTTTCATTCTCATTCAACTCCACAAAGCAGCTCCTATCATTGCAAACATGAACTGTAGCAGCTGAATCTAAAACCCAACCTTTATCACTTTTCAAAGTCTGAGTCTCATCCACACAAGTTGTCAAAACAACATCATCATCATCAGACACGACAGCAACAGTATCACTCTTTTCTTCATCTGATTTCTTCTCATCATTCGCCCTTTTAAAAGCAGCCATATCCCTTCTCAGCTTCCTACAGCGTACTTGGATATGTCCCTTCTCACCACAATAATAACATTCTACATCACTGTAATCTCTGTCTCTTGACTTAGATCTCCATCTTGATCCATCAATCCTCTTTTGAGTCCTCCCTCGATCAAAACCCTCTACAGCTAGTGTACTCCCCCCAGGTGATGAGTTCTGAGCTCCCATAAACCTTTCATTCTCACGCAACAGGGCAGTCACATCATCCAACTTCAAAGTAGACCTGCCTACCAACACAGTCTGAACTAAAGGCCTATAAGACTTGGGCAAAGATGACAGCAAAATTAAAGCCTTCTCTTCATCTTTTAACTCATCAACAGAAATCGCTAACAATTGAGAAACCAATTTATTAAATTCATTCAGGTGATTATGAAGACTCATACCTTCTTCCATCTTCAGAGAATACAGATCCATCTTCAAACATAATCTATTAGTCAACGACTTCGAAGCATAAATACCTTCAAGCTTATCCCACAAACTTTTCGGAGTACTCTCAGTCAACACACTGTACTTTACTTCTGGAGCTAACGCCAATCTAATAGTACTAACAGCCTTCTTCTGAATCCTATTCCAATTAACATCAGACATTCCCTCAGGCTTACTACTCTCTAATGCTTGATCCAACCCTTGTTGTACTAACAGATCTTGAATCGTACTTTGCCATAACATAAAATTACTTTTTCCATCAAATAACGGAATCTCAAACTTAGGCATAGACATACTAGACATACCTTCTTCAGACATCTTCAAACAATGCTTCACGATCTTTTGGACCCACGAACCTCGCTCTGATACCACTTGTTGGGAAAAACAACACCCATGCGCAGCAACCACACATAAAACAGCAAGCTCAAATCAAGAATAAGAACACACAAATATATTTGGTTCGGCCCAACTCAAAATGGCCTACTCCAAACACAATCCACTAACAAATAAATCTTTACAATTGTGAGACTTTTAGAATGAGAAAAGTCTCCTAAAACTCCTTACTCAAAACTTAACGCAAAACCCAATTACACCCTTTAATAGCCTACTCACTTAGCTATTCTCTTGGTGTCTAACTCTCTGAGGTTACTAAACTAAAACCAAAACATCTTATTTATAGGGGTGAAACCCTTTATACCTTTACTAAACTCCCGATGTGGGATACAAGACAAATTCAAACTTACTTAACTTTCGATGTGGGATTCTGAGATTCAAGGCAAATCCCAACAGTTTTCAGGTAAAGTAGTTTGAGCAAGGAATCTGATATTTCAGCAGAAGGTTGGCAGGGTGAGGTAGCAACATCGGGGCCAACGTGAATAGCCGTAACATGAAAGATTGGAGGGTCTTGACCAATCTCACATTCAATACCAGGCCATGGAGTGTCGGTGCATGGCGCTGGATGGACTTCAGCCCAACCAGGTTCATCTAGAAGTGAACCTATAACATCAAAAAGCCCTAAAAGTTCCGCTTCTTCCATCACAATTTCACTCTCATCCAAGTGTCTTTGCACTGCAATTGCCCCACAAGACAAAACAAGGAATCCAACAAGGAAAAGAGAAGGAGAAGCCATGAGAGAAGACTCAGAAGAGCATGAAACAAACAGAACCTAAACCCCACTAATATAAACATTCAGAATGTCAAATGTAGCTTTAGAAACCAAGGGATCGCAGTCTGCTTTCTCTTTTACGACTTTCTCTTCAACATAAGCACTTGTTGAACGTACATTTGATAGCAAAAAGAAGAAAAAGTAAATGAATATCTACCAGTTTATTGCTTCACCTTCGTGTCAGTGTGTGAAAGCCTGCTGTTGGGAAACCCTAAGTTGTCTCTGTCTGGCATTTGCATTCCAGAAATGAGAGAGTGAGATAAGGATAGTGTTGTGTTTTTGCATGGAAAAAGGGGGCAAATGAGAGATGAAAGAAATAGTTTCTATAAGAGGAGCAAATTGTCAGGAGGTTCAAAACAGATAATAATCACGGAAAAGCAAAACAAAAATAATAAAAAAAAGGGATTTAGTTTAAGCATGATTTGAAATGGCTCTTCCACGGTATCATCCCTGAAGCCGACACAACGAGCATTGCTTTTACGGGCTACAGTTGCCTCTCTCAGCTTCTCTCTTTCTCTCTCCCTGTGGCTCTGGCTCTGGTCGCTCTAACATCTATGTCTTTACTCCGTAGGATTGGCTGCACGCCACCCTACATGTTTTTGTTTTCTTGATATAGATGGATGGATTGCGGAATGCAACATCTAAATATACAACGAAAAAAATTAAGTTACAAACAAAATATCCTTAGAATTATTTGACAATAAAAGTTTTGTTTCTCATTATTCGGTTCAAGGTAGAAAAAAAAATGCATATGCAGTCAAGTATATGCTAATAAGTTTGGAAATTTTGATCATTGTACGTTAAAGCTCCATCCCGATTTTCACTTTCAGATTTTGTTTCAATTTTATTTTTCTCAGTCAAATTTTTAGGGAACTAAAGTTTATCCTTGACGAAGGCTGTATGGTGTATATAATAATGGAAATAAAGTTCCTTTTCATTTATTGAGATTTGAGAGGAGAGAATATACACACTCAGACTCTCACATCAAAAGAAAATCCAAGCTTCTATTAATGCAAGAAACCGGCATTGAATCTAATAGCATTGCAGGGTTGAAGGCAACGCCTCTGCTGAAATGGCGTGCAGGTGTGGGGAACTGGGTAGGGCTCCACTTTTCAGCAACAGTGGGCTGTGTAGAGCTAACATGGATTATTCAACCCAAAGTGGGGAGTTTTCAGATTGGGTCTTGCCCCAAATGCTCGAAATTGGAGATGTGGGCTTTACGAGGTTGAACAGCTTGCCATAACAATTAAACATGATTGTTGGCTAACTGTAAAGTCTTAAACTCTTTACTCAGAAACAAATTAAAATCTAACTATTCTTGTGTACATCCACTTAATAAGCTGTGTTAAGCGTTATTGTTTACTCTTTATGAAAAGAAAATAAGGGAAGGAAAAAGAATAATTATTTTATTTTTTTATATTAAAAAAATTCGAACTCTACTCTTTGAGTAGAAGATAATAGACACCTATTACCGAGTCAGTTCACATATCATGCTCGATTAAAACAATCATTTTATATTCTATATTGAATATGGATATTATATATACTGCAACCATGCATGATCAGTGCAAATCAACTTCAAAATCTAAACATGTAAAGTGACTAGGGATGGCAACAAGGTAGGGATTATACTTATTGTCCCGATCCTCTCCCCAATCTACGTCCCCATTCCTATATTGATCCACCAAGAGGAAAAATTCCTCCCATCCTCCCCCCTCTCCCCACTTCTTTTGCAACTTGAGGATTTTTGGCATATGTTTCCTGATTCTTGTTCATGTATAATTCGGCCATGAACTTCAAGATAAAGCAAACTAAGAGATTTGCATGATAAAATTCATGTCACCATTACAAAAGTCTAAGCATCAGCCTCTAACGGGTCCATATATTTTGATTATGATTAAAATGCACCTTGGTTTCTAGCGAAGACAAGAAAACCCAAGTTGATAAGCGATCTATAATTCATGACCTTTCATTTTTTTTTTTTTTCATTGATACAATATGGACAGCTAGCCTTTTAAGCAAATATTTTGTGAAATAAAGTTACTACAACTTTTCACTCAGTAGGGTTAAAGCATAGACACAATGAGCTCATCGAATATTTATCTAGATCACTCTTGCCCCCATTAAAAACTTGTAAAAGATTAAACTAGCTAGAGTCAAGAATGTCTAAAAGCCGCCACCATGAATCGAGCCTTCTCTTCCGTGATCAAATCAAAACATAAAATAAGAAATTATAAGTAATTATCAAGCACACGAAAACTGTTATTCGTCTTGCTGTCTTTGGAGTGTTCCCTTTGCTTACTACAAAATTCTATTACATAAACATGATTAAATCCTTCACAAATTTTGTAAATGATCCGATTACGCAAGAAAGATAATTAACCAATAATCAAGTGCCATGGGAGTCTCTACTCGAAATTTCGTTCGAGTCCTTGTTCCACAAGGCTTAAAATTTTATAATAACAAGTTAATAAAGAAGGGGTAACAATTCAAAGGACCAACTTAAAATAATGGTGAAAGTCAAGCATGGACTGTGGAGATAAGCAAGTTTACAAAATCATGAGACTTGATGATTACTCCATTATTATAAGTACAAATATCCCACTATTGTAATCAATGAAAACTAAAGGATAATGGGGACAAATATAGTAATTAACTTTAAACTAAAATAACCCCATTTTGATATTGGGTTAATACACGTGGCTTGCATCCGAGTGGTTGGGACCCAACACTTGGCTGCCACAAAAGGGAAGATCCACTCCTTTGAGGGTCCCAATCGAAGTATTGTATGCTACCATCTGTAAGATTGTGGGGATTAAACAAAATTAAAAGGTGAGATATATGGGTCCACAGCCACCATTACATGCTTAAGATCAGGAAGTCTTTTTTTTTTTTTTTTCAATATTGTGGTGAAGAAGATTATGAATAAAAAATTTTGCTTACACTTGGAGCTAGAGCTAGCTTTTTTTTTTTAGGTTAAAAAAGTTTAATGATTAAGCAATCAAACAAACGAAACTCCAAGCCAAATTGAACTTGCATGAACCTCATGGAGGTTGGTTTAATCATGCAGAAAGTATGCACCTCTTGTGTTTGTGTACGAGATCATCCCACGCTTTGATTTGTTTTTGATCATGAAAAAAGGATTTGTAATTGTGGGACCAAAAGTGGGAGATTAATACGTGGAATCAATCATGTGTTAAAATGCATTACATTCTTCCTATAGGGGTGTTAAGTAACACTGTGGATAACTTTGGTTGTATTTTATAATTTATTTGTTTATTTATTATTTTTTAGTGTTAGAGTGTGGACCAATTAAATTTGAGAAATTTCTTAAGAGATGGATCTATGATTGAGAAAAAAAAGAAAACAGTTTGATTAACTCTGGATTGCCACCATTCATATGTGATGTCGTTTTATAATGATATATAGGGCAAATATTATTTCACTTGTTTTACAATTTGACTTCAATTTGATAAATATCGAAATCTGCCAACCGGATTTTTTTTGGCTACATATGGAACTCGATCATAATTGTTCCGGTGATGTGAAGTTTAAGTGCCCAAAACACGCACTCTTGGTCATATTCTTGGGGTCCTTTTGTTCATCTTCTTTATTTTTTACTCATATGAATTCGAAATGATTGAAATTCATGATTAGGATCATTCTTTATTTTAGTAAAAAAAATCTAAATCACAGTTATAAGTTCTTGGCTGATATTGATTTACGTGTTTTTTAATTCATTTTAAAAAACTTCTTTAGATTCAATTTAATAATAAGAAAAGAACATTGTTTGTAATGATTACTTCACCTTGAGAAAAAATCATTTTTATTAAAATTTTAGGGTTTTAATTTTTTAAATTATAAATATAATCAAAATAAAATATTACATCTATATGAAAATTCATTAAATTAAATCAAATATACAAACTAATGAACAAATTCACAATTAAATAAATCAAACATATGTATGGTAAGATTTGAACTCAAAATTTTTAGATTTTAATTTTTTGAGAGAATACAAATTTTCATTTGATGTGTGACCTAATATATTATATATGTAATATATGTATATATATATATATATATATTTCATCATTCAAAAGTAATATATGAAATAACTATTTATCAGTTCTCCCTTTTCTCTTTAACATAAATAGTGAAATTATTGATGAAAATTGCAACAGTTAATTAGTTATCCTATAATTGATGAATGATAAGAACGGTGGAAGGACATACTAAGTAACTACATCGAAATTGTGAGAGATATTTGTAATTTTAGTCGTTCAATTATTTGCCAACTTCATTCTATAAAAGCCCTTCGAACTGGGAACTTCACCTACTACAATTTCAAAAGCGCCTACCTTAAGTCTTCAAATTGGCAGATACCCCAACTAGCTTTCTCCCGCTTCTCTTCGATTCTATCATCTAGCTAAATATAATGACCATGCCATCAGCAAATCTAATGGAAAATCCAGTAAAACCCCACAAGTTCAAAAACTATCAAAAGGCAAACGGAATGTCCTTTGCCTTTCTCTTCTCCATTGTCATTTATATCTCTATTTTCTATATCTTCAGCCTTTCTCCTTCAACTCTTTTCAGTAATACCAAGTTTTGGTTTGTTATTTCCAACACTCTTATCCTCATCATTGCGGCTGATTATGGAGCTTTCTCTTCCTCCAAAGATCAGAAACGTGATCTTTATGAGGAATATGCGTTGCATAGCCAAACAAGGAGAAGAAGTACTGCTGCTTCATTTGTTCCACACCCCGAAATTGTGACAAAGAGCATTCCCAAGGAAGAAGAGAGTTTGAAAGAGAAGAAAAAAGAGGATGTAGCTGATCAAAAGAAAAATGAAATCCCTGAAAGAATAGTGGAAGTTGTCAAAATTGAACCTAAAACTGACAATTCCCAAGCAGAGAGCCCCCAGCCGGAGCATCCCATGAAAGCTGATAATGAAGCATGTGATCAGGTAATTAATAAGAAGAAGATTGAACCAAAAACTATCCGAAGAAGCAAATCTGATAAAGTGAAACGTGCTACGTTTGATGACAAAAACAATTTGCAGAGATCAAAAACAGAAAAGCATGAACCAAGTGCAAAACAAAACGAGTTTCCAGCAGAAGAAAACGAGTTTTCGACTATGTCAGATGAGGAACTAAACAGGAGAGTTGAAGAGTTCATTCAGAACTTCAACAGGCAAATTAGGCTTCAAGGTGCTAGAAACCGCCAACTTTTGGAATACGAATTCGAGTAATAGGAATTAAGGAGATATTGCAATAATACTCCAATTTTTCTGTCTCCTTCGTTGTGCTTTTGATTGGGGGGCTTTGTCTTCCCCACTTTGTTATCTTCCCTTAGAAAGTAGCAAGTCGGTGTAAATGGGTTTGGACTTTAGTAAGAAGAGTTATCTTTTTCAATCATCTTTCAATACTTTTCCTTTTCAGAACCCCTCTTATAATTTAGCCATGATGACTTGTATCTTTTCAATTTATTAGATTGCACAAAATCTAGGCGGCATTAAGGAATAATTTTGCCTTTATAATTTGGTGTACAGTGTTACGATCATAGTCACCATCTTCAATATTAAGACTAAAAGAGTAATACTCTTCTATTTCTTCAAATGCTTCATTGTTTACAAATAGATAGCATTTTAGAGATATGAAAAATAATTATAGGTTTTAAGAATTAAAATTTAAAAATAATTGTATAAATTAACTGAATTAAATTTTAAGTTTTATTATTAACTAACTTTCATAGCTTGTTCCATTTTCCAAGCCCTTTCAACCTTACATCTCGTGAAATATAGCTTTCTAAAACACAGATACATAGCTAATTAATGTTCTTTTTTTTGTTACAAAGACAAAAAAAATCCTTTATATGGCATTGAAGTAAGCAAGACTGATTGCATGAAGTTTTGAATGAACGATTGAGTGGAATAATAATTTATATTACGTCAACGTATGAAGAAAGCAACGAGAAACATGATCGTACAAAAATCTGTGTTCTTGATAATTTTAAGTTAGGTCGTCATCAAACAAATGATTTTTGTTAATTATTGTATTAGTTTAAGGTTGTGTTATTGTAATATAGATATCATGTAGCTAACTAGATCTAATTCTTACTGTTTAATAATAGCCACGAGCCCTTGAGTGGTTTTCAAAGAAAGGTCAGTCTAAAACGCCTTTTTTCCCTCCATTTTCCATGTTAGAGTTTAGAAAACCTTTACTAAGATAGATATATATATATATATATTTATTTATTTATCATGTCATCAATTTTTTTTATAAAAAAAATTCAAGAACAGATTTATTGGGATTTTGTTTTGGAAATTTAATGGGTAGATTTGGGATTATATTTTTTAATTCAAGGAAAATTTTAAATTTTTTATTATATAAATTAAGTTTAATAAGTGATTTAAATTTTATATTTTAATTTGAACTAAACTTAAAAAGATTTTGAAATCTAAAATTTCAAATCAAACATGAATATATATATATATATATATATCTATATAAATCATTAATATTAAGTATGAATTTGACATGAACTTAACCCAACCTAGCTCATAATCATTTTTATGTATCGAATATAAACTTTCTTTTTATCTTTTATGTGACTTATAACCAGTGATTAAAAAAATAATATAATCCACATTATTTAGTAGTTATGTAAGTAATAAGATTCTATTTTTTTTTAATTTTTTATTCATCCCTATCTTTGCTCCCGTCCTATTAGTTAACTCAAATCTTATCCAGCCTTTTGCATCAAATGCCCGGAATAAGTCGTTTTCCTTGCGTTAGCTATGATGTTAAATTTTTTATTTGGATGAATTTCGGATTTGATCATTTGAAATTAATTTAAGATTTTAAAATATGAGTTAATATTTGATACTCTATTTGTGTAAAATTTTAATTTTATAAACGATTTTAAAAAAATGACACATATTACATATTTATTTTTAATTAATTTTTTTTATTTTTTAAATATATCTTAAAAGATATGTATTATTTTTTTAATTCTACCAATAAAATCTAAAAACTTCAATATATTGTATTTAATAATTTTTTTACCTTAAAAGTTGTTGTAAACTCTTAAATTTCAATACTTTAAAACTCGTAGTAGTTAATTCCAAATCCAAATCCACTTTTGTACGAATAAAGCTTTTCAACTCCCCCAACGGGCCAACCCTTCCCACAGTCATTTCCCACATGCACTATAAAATAGAAATTGGCAAGCAGTGAAAGTGCCAACCTGCTTTTGACAGGAATTAAAGTTATTCTGAAATGAAAATAGCGAAATAATTGTCTTATATTAAGAACATGTAGCCGGCCAATTTCTCAAAAATATTAGTAGGGTTTTATTTTTTCAAAAGCTAACTTAAAGTTAGCCCTTTGATTTTGACATAAGAATTAAGATCTTTTACATCAAATAATTGAGAAACATATTTGCAAGGCCATTCCCACCCCCCCCCCCACACTACAACAAAAATATCAGTAGAAACTGCTTAATCAGTTTTAATATTTAATATTTAATATTTATTCCAAATTACAGTAAGATCCTTGAATTAATGTTGAAACACTCAGTGTCCTTTTACTAAGAAAACGAAAGCTCAAAAGATGCACAAAGTACTTTAGATTTTTGGCCCCTTCCTTTTAACAAAATCATCATTAAATAGTGTTTTTTTTTTTTCAAACATTCATTTCCCATTGGCATTGATTTCATGATGTGATTCTCAATAGATTTGGAATATTGCTTGATGCAACATAAACAACATAAATATTATTATAAATTCTAAAAAGTAGGTAGCTATAGAGATTCTTCTTATTTCTTTCTTCCTCGAGCTTATAGCCTCTAGTTGATAATATACTTCCTGGATGCATAATCTTGGATGAAAATATCAGCTCCCTTTTGCCTGTATGTGTCATTGGAAATTTCTAGTACCATAAATATTCAACTAGACTTGTTTAGATCAAGTTGGATTCGATGTGATTAGACATCAAAAAATCATACTTAGGGTTTGATTTGACCTATAAACTCATAAAGTTCAAATTTTTATTAATTAAATAATAATTTAATTGAACCGAAATGAGCTTGAATTGAAAAAACTATATTTAAGATTCAATTTGTGTCGAATCAGACCCACAAATCAAGTGGGTTGTTTAGCTCGTAAACAAATATAATGAGAATAATTTATTTTGTATTTTTCTAATAAAGAATAATTTTATTATAAAAATTTATAATCAATGGGACTCAAAATTAATTTTAAATTTTTTAAAACTTTATGTAAAATCAGAATTTAATACTATATATAATACGAAAGAAGTATTAAAATCTTAATTTAAATTATTTAATATTAAGGTAAAATAGCTATATTGTGATTTTAGGAAGAAGAAACAGTGTTATAAGCAACCTAAATATAATGTACCAAAATCCTAAGAAGGAAAAAAACAAAATCATCCATCTGATTTCCATGTCTTAAAGAAGGATCAATGGAAAACGCTGTCAACTGTGGAGGCACTGAGGGAATGGTCTATAAGCATAGTTATTAAAATTGGACTGAACATTAAATCGTTCAAAGTTTTAAATTATTAGGTTAATAATTTAATTACTAGGTCACTCAGTCGATTATCGGTTCAATAATAAATATTATAAAAATATAAATATTTTAAAAATTCAAAATTTAAACTTTTAACTAAAATTATAGTTTAATAATTCAATCATAAAACTATAAATTTTAAAATATATCATAAACTGTAAATTTTAAAATATAAAATTCATAAATAATTAATTACTAGTTAAAAATGAAATTACTTAATATTTTATTAAAATCATATTTTATATTTTAATAGTTAGAAATAATATTTATATTTTAATAAATATAATAATAATTATTATTTATATTTATTAAATATAATATTATTTATTATATATAATAATTAATATTTATGTAATAAAAAGAAATATCTATATATAAAATTAATAAAAAGGAAGTTAAATCATTTTTATATATTTTATATGAATGTAGATTTTTTTATTAATTTTACATATATACATTTTCTTTTATTAATTATTTTCAATCATGGTCAAATAATTAATAATTTGTATTAACATTTTATTTTTTATTAATTCTATATATTATTATTTTTATAATTATTTTTAATTATGGTATTAATTAATAAAATTTTTTGTTAGATCATTTTTTTTTAAATTGTTTATTTTTATACATGCATAAATTTTTTTTACAATATCATTATTCACATATCTCAAAATATGCTTATATATTATTAATATGTAGATGCAAGAGCTTTGATAATAAAAAATAAAAATGAAGGACTTATTTAAACGAAATAATAATATAACGATTTAATTAAATTATTTTAAATATTTGAAATTTTTTTATTTTATTTAAAATTATTAATTAATATTAAATCAATCTAATTAAAAAATTAATTAATTAATTAATTATATAAATTATCATTTTATAATAATTTAAAATAATTTAATTATAAAATTAATAATTAAATCGATTTCAATACCGATTCATCGAATTCATCGTATTGAATCGACAGTCTCGTCCGATTTTAAAAACTATGTCTCCAAGTAAAATTTAAGAAACCGATTATCTCACTAATTACCATGGTGATGGCTAGAGCCTAGAAAAGTCTAGTGAATGAGGATTTGCCTCGTGTATTCTCGTTGTCGCCTAAAAGATTTGGACTGCAATCTCCACCACAAGTAGGATAGCATTTGTTCTTCACTTCAGTAATATTTCAGCACGAATGTTCATGGCTGATTGTCTCATTGCTGTCGGTTTTCTGAAGCAATATTTCTCTCTTAATCTCTATAGATCGCCTCAATTGGTAAGTTTATCCAAGTGAAAAAAATTAAGTGATTTTAGGTTTGAATTTAGTAACACGAGGAGAGATTTATTTATATTAGTGAAAACTTTATATTTTTATTTTTAAATTAAAATAATTAAAATTAAAAACATCAATTTAATTAAAATTAATTATAAATTTAATTTTAATTCAATAATTAAAAAAAGTGTAAAACTTATACCAATGCAAATGGATTTATACTCAAATTTATCTTAGATTCTATAATAAGAGAGATAATTTGTATTCTAACTTAAACTTTGGAATAATTTAAATTTTTTTATTTCAAAAGTTTTAACAAAAAATATTTATCTATTATTACATTAAATGTTCAAATATAAAATTTTCATATATTTTTTATAAAAAAAAAAAAAACTACAACTTAAAGATATTACCTTTTAAAATGTGATTAGATTAATTAATCAAATTAAACTTCAAATAAAATATTTTCTATGTTTGAATTCTATATATATATATATATATAATATTTTAATGCTTATATTTCTAAATTCTAACCCATGAACATCTCTATGTATCAAATATAATTTTTTTTTTGTTTTTTACATGATTTATAACCATTGATTAAAAAAATAATATAATCCACATTTTTTAGTGGTTATGAAGGTAATAACGATTCTATTTTTTTTTTAATTTTTATTCATCCCTATCTTTGCTCCCGTCCTATTAATTAACTCAAATCTTGTCCA